TGCTCTTAAGACGACCCCAAAGAAGGAGAAGATAAAGAAATCACTCGATATTGTATTTGATAAGCACCGCAAGGAGCATGCCTCTCTTCAGCATACCGATACCTCCGTTGAGACACCCCATCTCAAGCCATCACCGCCAAAGAGGAATGTATGGATACCCAAGGTTGTCGTACCAATACGGTCCAATGCACCTGTTGGGGGAACACGTGGAATGAAAGAAATCCAAAGTATCAGACATCGTGGTAGTTTTTGCTACAGTTTGATGAACAAGAGGAGGATGTTCAGGAAAACCCTCCAGATCTCAAAATGATCCAGGAAGCAACAATCGAAGAGAAAGTTGAGAAACTCAGGGCTGAAATTTTTGAGTTAGCCAAAGAACATGGAGTAGTCATCTATGATGATGACGATTTTGATTTCAACGATTATCACGATAAAGATTTCATGGATATTCATGTCATCGAGTTCAGAGCCGTTGCATCTGCCCGCGATGTCCAACCTCTCGTTGAAGGGAACTTCGCGGATGATTTGCGCAGGGTTGTTTTCTTAAGAGATGAACAAATCAACCAGATGGAAAAGAGAATGGATGAGATAGCCGCCACCATGGCCGTCATGGCTACAGTTCAAGGACAGTCCCAGTCGCAGCAGGTAGCTTCTCCAGGAGTCAACCAGCCAAAAATAGTTCATATTACCAATGAAAGGAGAGAAGCTACCTCCGCCAACGGAGAAGATCAGCAAAAGAAGGATTGCTCACCAAGTACCATACCAGAAAAGGATATTAAACAGTTGATCGATCAATAAGTTCGGGAGGCCTTAGCATAATCTAAGGGCGGTGCATTGATTTGAAGGGGTAGACCTTACCTGGAGGAGTTCGATGTCGTACCCTACCCAAAGGGTTTTGTGTCACCAAACTTTAAAACATTCGACGGGACCGGAAATCCAATGCAGCATATAACACATTTCCGAGTCAGTTGTGGTAATACCGGAGGTAATAAAGCTTTGATCTTCTGCAATTTGTTAGCAGCTTATCAGGAATTGCATTTGATTAGTACACCAAGCTACCCAACGGATCAGTCAAGACGTTTGCCAAGTTAAAACAGTTGTTCGTGAAAAGATTTGCTGGAGCACAGCATCATGTTTTTATTGGAGATCTCATAGTGGAGAGGCAAAAGCCTAACGAGACTTTAGTAGATTATATCTTAACGTGGAGAAACCTTAGCATGAAATGTGAACTTCAACTACAGGAATAACATGCGATTGAGATTCTACTCAAAAGCATCCATGGGCCAGTAGCTTTCATGCTTAAGAGACTCACAATAAAGTCCTTCGAGAAGCTACTAAGCAAAGCCAGCAATTTACAAGAAGAAGTTAAACACGTGGATTCCCAAGAGAAATCAGAAAAGACCAGAACAACCAGGATATTCGAGAAGAAGTCCGGAATAGAGGTAACGGTCGAGAAGGGAAAGCAGCCGATAAAGATACAAACAGAGCATTCTCACCAAAATTCCCAGCAATCGTCACAGCATACTCAGCAACAAGCACAGCAATATGGCTAGTCTAGCCAGCAATCACACTAGGGAGGACCGTACCGAGCAGAAGGTAGAAAGGGTCTGAATTTTTCAGAACAAAAAAAGACGATATATTCTTTCAAAGATGAGGCTATGCCAAAGATGTTCAAAAATTTAATGAAGAAGCCTGAGTTCAGATTATTAAAACCGAAGAAGCCGGAAAAAGACGACAGGGAGGAGTATCCCAATTTTTGCCTCTAGCACAGGATGTTGGACTTATAATAGAGGGTTGTTTCGTCTTCAAGGACTGGCTCAAGAGGAATTTTAAAGAAGAAAATATAACAATCACGAAGAAATATTTAAAAGAACCTGAAAAAGATTCTGTAAATATGATTTCAGTCGAGTCAATCACTCTGATAGATCCGTATTCGGAAAAAGATGGATGGAGTACAGTTTGCAGCAAGTCATCCAAAAAGATATTGGTTCAGATTCAGATCTCTTCAGCTCAAGCCACCGTTCAGAGTTTACAACCTGTTCAGTCAAAGATGGAGATTTCGCCAATGAAACCACCGCAACCAGAAGAGGAGAAGAACGACGTCGTGAAAACCGATAGCGCGGGGGTAGGATAGGCCCCACCGGGGTATTATGAATATAATGATTATGATGTGAGGAGAATAAACTATTACTACATCAATTGATCATGACCGCCTAGACTTAAGTTTTATAGAAAATAATTATAATCGTATATTATACAATAAAACTCTTGTCCTAACTCAAAAGCTTCCTAAGAATATTTTGATCTTATCACTTTTTCATTTTCTCTTTATAAATTCTCGTATTTTCATAAGATTCTTGTCTAATCTCATCAAGTTTATTTAACTGTAGAATTTTTTTCACACCAGCTTTCTTCATATTGCAATTGAATTCTTTAACAACTCATTAAGTTTTATGTTCTAATTTCACTGGTAAGTGACAAGCCTTATCAAAAATGTGTCTATATGTAAACATTTCTATAGGTGTTTTATAAGCAACTCTATAAGTCAATAATGCATCATCTAATCTCAATGACCGATCATTTTTATTAGAATAGATAGTTTTTTTCTAAAATCTTTCTAATTTCTCTATTAGATACTTCTACTAAACCACTCACTTGGGGATGATATGCTATGGACAATCCTATGCTTAATTTCATACTTTGTAACTAATGTCTAAATCTTTCTAATCCTAAAGTGGCTTCCCTCATCACTAATAATTTATCTCGGCATACCAAATCTACAAAAGATATTTTTCTTTAAAAATTTGGCTAAGGGTCTTTTTGGCGCAGCTGCAGCTTTTCAGCTTCTCAGCTGTAGCTGTGCTACCTCAGGAAGCTGCTGTGGAGAAGCTGACTGCATGTTTGGGACAGCTATATGAAAACAGCTGTGGGACAGCTGTTTCTGGAAAAATGATTATTATGCCCCTATTTTTTAATACTTTTAAGACAAAAAATTACTTTAAAATAGTGCAGAATTACAGATACACACCTCAATTCATAGTGAGTATCAAGAGTGCAAAAAAAAATCTAAATCTATTAAAATAACAATTAATAAGATGATTATATTATTTTATTTTTAAAATTCTCAACAACGCATTGATGTTTCCACTGTTTGATAAGTCCGAATTTGTTAAAAGATGGCAGTTTGAATAGTCTACTTCTTCTTCATCATCCATCATACCCTTGCAGAGCTTTCATTCCATTCCAAAGTGAATCAGAACCAACTGCTCCTTCATTCCTAAGCTTAAAGCTTACAGAATGAAGAAGAAGATCTTAAACTTTATACAAAAGAAGAGCGATTATTACTTGATTTGATTTTATATATCTCTGCAGTTTTCTAGCTGTTGTAATACTTTCGTACTCTGATAATAAAGCTCTCAACTTTGAAGAACGCCCACTATGACGCAGAGAGAATAAAGCCAGAAGAAGCTTGTATAAACTTACGGATTCAAATGAAGACGCTCAGAACCAGGGCATCAAAATCTAAGTTGTAAACAACACAAGCAAGAGATTAGAAGTCTAATCATTCATCCCATGGAGCTCGGCGAGAGATGACTGATCAATTCAATTTAACAATTAGTCATCCTTAAATGGAAATCGAGCATAAAAAGAGGAACTGAGGTGCAGGAAACATTTGTAAAGCTCTTCAAGTGGACCCGAAAAAACAAATTTGAAGAAGTTCAAGATCTGCAACAAAGAAATTTGATCACCCTTGAGTTGCAATTTTGATCGCTCTTCAAGTTCAACATATGCAACAAACAACTTTGGCGCAGGAAACGTTTGTAACGCTCGATGCTAGGGCAGAAAATTTCTCTGCGCGGTTTCAGTAATGCCAGAGGTTAGGGCAGGCTTCGGGGCAACAGAGGTATTAACAATGGCGAACGCGGGGCCGCGGGGTCAATCTCGCGGCCCGCATTCCGCCAACTTTAGCGGCGAGCTGCCGCAAAGCTGCGGGAAAAAAGCTGCGTGAAAGCGGAAAAAAAAGAAAAGCGTTGTGGTTTGGGGCCGCGCCACTTGAAAAAAGCAGCCCCAAACGGACCCTAAACTTTGAGCATCACAATTTGGAAGAGTCTTTGCCTTTATCCATTTTGAGATATGAATTCCCTAATGAAGATACAAAGGGTCCTATAAAGTCTAAACCCTAAACATAAAAAACTTCAAAATCTAAAGTAAAATTCAGAGGTATTTCATAGTGTTTAGAAATATTACATACTCGCTGACATTTATCACAAGATTTAATAGAAATATTCATGTTCTTAAACAAAATAGGACGATAAAATTCAAATTATAAAATCTTATAGCAGGTTTCGAGGAGGAAGAGATTCGGCAGCAGAGGGGGATAGGTAAAGCTCTCATACCATGCAGAAAATAGGTTCTTAGAGAAATAATTCTTCATCTTATTGTTTACATATAGGGTACATATATAAAGGAAAAACAATCCTTACCAAATATGTCTAACCTAAATTGGGAAAGGAAATAAAATAAAAGTTAAAATAATATAGAACAGGAAGGCAATAAACTAATCAAAGGTTTCCTAAGTTGTCCCAATCAAATCCTCCAAGAAGATTTGGAAGTGGCTAGCCAACCCATAAGAGAGAGAGAAAGAGAATCTTCTCAGATTTTCACACTAACAAAACTTCAATAGTGATATGGTATTTGGAGTTCCATTGGTACTTATGGAGTGGCAAATAGAAGAACAATACTCCCGTTAATAAGCTTCATAATCAACAATCATAATCACCTAGTTTAATGAGATTGTTTCCTAAACAAATCAAATATAAGGTTTGGCATGTTTTTGAAAAGCAGCGAAGCGTCAAACAAAGCCGTAATATCACAAAACTATCCATTCATGAAAAGCTATGGAAATAATCAAATGGCAAAACGTAGTTTATTCTGGTCCCCCGGTATTGATCACAAATATAAAGCGTGGAAAATTTTATCTGGTAAAATAAAAAACATACCTTATCAATGAGATCGGGAAGTTTTTCAGAAACCAGATATCTGGCAATAAGCATGGCAGAGGAATTCCTCACTCCAATACTCTCTAGAAAGGGCAACAATCCACCATCCCTCTTACTCTTAGCCATGCAGCGAACCTTTTCTCTAAAAGTACGAGAAGCAATATCCTCCCCACCCTCCTCCGCGTCCGGACCCCACGAACTCCATAGCGAATGCTCATCCAACTCGAGAACATTCCCCACGATCATATCCAAATACTGAGGCGAATTCGAAGCGATCCTCGCCGTATCATCCTCTGAAGCTCCATACTCTCGCAGTATTTCCATAATAGCCTCCCGTGCTTCCTCCATAGCAGGCTCCCCTGGCCAGCTATGGCCATATTCGCCGACAGAAAACTGCACCCGCGCGCTTTGGAAACGCGTACTTCTGGGTCGAACAAGTACTGGGAAAATCCGAGAAGGGGGCAAGATGGGGTGTAAATGGTGATAGAAAAGCGCTGGATTTGTGGAAAAACTGCACCCCGCAACTCGGGATTCGAAGAAGCCGAGTGAGGCAACTGGGATTGCCCCGCCCTGCATGGTTCTCGTATCAAGTTCCCATGAATTCCGAAGAAATGCCGAGACCCTTACGTTTCCCTATAGTGAAAAGGATCTATAGTGTCCGGAATTTTCATATTTCCATTTATTCAATGCGTTATTTTATTTATATGCTTATATATTTATTTATTTATTTTTACTTATATTTATATTTTTGTTTATTTATTTATTAAATTTATGTATTAAATATAAACACAAAATAGTCATATAAAAATATTTTCTTAGATCAAATGAACTCCAAATTTGATATTATGTTCAAATAAGTCTCAACGATGGTAGTCTACAAGCTTAAATGCCCTTATTCATGAGATCATTAAGACCCTCAAATCAATAAATAATTTTTTCATGATCAAGGGGGATAAATATGGACATCTTATAAGTTGGTTACCAGAGTTATTTGTTAAAGGGCCGAAATATCCCTCTCCTAGAAGCTATAAATAAACTCTTTCTCTTCACTTGAAGGGAAAGAATGAGTTTAATTTTAATATTGTTATGGATCGAAAACCCTGTGATATATTATGGCATTCGTAGTCGTTGACCACCATCAACAACCATCAGCTGCCTCTGGTCACTGTCATCAAAGAACTGTGCTTGTCAATTATATATCTTAAATATGGTGTAATGAATAATGTCGCATTGAAGACCAGACAATAAATTTCATCCTTTGTAGCCATCGCGTCCCCTGCTTGTTAATGTCATGTCCCAAATACGATCATAATCTATAATGTCGTATTATGGATCTTGCGATAACATTTGGCCTCCATAGCAGTGGACAACCCCTACTTTTATACGATGTAGCCCGAATATAATATATTAAAGACATGGTGATGACATCCAACCTCTATAGTCATCGACCATCATCGATCGTCACCACCGGCCACCGTCGACCATTGATCAATGGTGATCACTTCTTATGTCATAGTAAGAATATGATAGTTATTCTTAGCACCTATATTTTCATTTTTATTGTATAAAGATAAATACAGTGTTTGTTATATGCACTGCTTACGTCATAGTTCATCATAAATACAGCATTTTTTGGCTAACTTTTGATATTATAGCCAAGAACCATGTTTGTTAAGCTCCATTATAACTATTATTGCTCAACTACTATTGCACATCCATAAGTATCAGTTTCGAAGTCCACATTCAATAATTCAAGAGAAGAAGTGGACCAATAAATCTTTAATTACATGGTGGATTACTTTGTTTGGGCTAAACTATATGATTTTTTTTTCTTTTCTAGGGTTTTTTCACATAAATATTATGATATCACCAACTACGAAATTTGCATTATATGTGTATGTGTTGTATCTTCATGTAATACTAAGGCATTAATTGATTACTCTACTGTTATGAATCTTTCAACACGCAACAATTTAGGAGTTTTATTGGAAACAAGTTCCATTGAAAGAAATATACACTTTTTAAATGGTTAATGATCTGCATTAAAAATACATATTTTTTATGCACATTTTATACCCATTTTTTAGGATATTATGTTTTAATGAAATGTATTTTGTGTGGTTTTTATTACAAGTGCAAGAAAAAAATTTTAAAAGCAAAAATGAGCAAAAATATATCAAAAAGGAGCGAAATGGGCCAAACCAAAAAAAATTGACAAAAACAACTAAACTGGCGCCTATGCGTCAGATGAAGGACGTGGCCGGCGCCTATGTGCAACAGTTTTGGCGCCTAGGCGCTAGAGTCGGCTTCTAGAAGATCCATTGAATGAGGCTAAATTTTGAAGAGATGTCCGAAGAAACCCTTGGTCATAGTCGAAGCTCTATATATATATA